GAAGAGAAATGGGGTAGGAGTGATCCTGAAGGAGGAGCTGGTGAGGAATGTTTTAGAGGTGAAAAGAGTGTCAGACAGGGTGATCAGTTTGAAGTTGGAAATTGAAGGGGTAATGTTGAATGTAGTCAGTGGTTATGCTCCACAAGTAGGGTGTGAGTTAGAAGAGAAGGAGAGATTCTGGAGTGAGTTAGATGAGGTGATGGAGAGTATTCCCAGAGGGGAGAGAGTGGTGATTGGGGCAGACTTCAACGGGCACGTTGGTGAGGGGAACAAAGGTGATGAGGAGGTGATGGGCAGGTTTGGTGTTAAGGAAAGGAACCTAGAAGGGCAGATGGTGGTGGACTTTGCTAAGAGGATGGAAATGGCTGTAGTTAACACCTATTTCCAGAAGAGGGAAGAACATAGAGTTACATATAAGAGTGGAGGTAGGAGTACGCAGGTAGACTACATTCTATGTAGATGAGGCAATCTGAGAGAGATTAGTGACTGCAAAGTGGTGGTAGGAGAAAGTGTAGCCAGACAGCATCGGATGGTGGTGTGTAGGATGACTCTGGTGGTCAGGAAGAAGAGGAGAAGAAAGACAGAAAAGAAGACCAAGTGGTGGAAGTTGCAAAAGAAAGAATGTCGTGAGGAATTCAGAGATAGAGATGGGAAGGAATGAATAGTCTATAACATAATATTTGATGCTCTTGTCACACAGTCCAAATGATGTTTATGTATTTTTAAACAGACTGTTGAACCTGTGGCAGGAAGGGAAATTGTGGAGGAAACTGTGTCTAAGGAGACAGGTGTGAGACCACCAGTTTCAACATAATTGGAGCATCAGTATGTTCTTTGGCCTTATGAATTAAATTTTTTTTTTAATTAATGATTAACTTGTTTAAATCAAATTGGGGCTGCTTGACAATCTAATTAGTTAAAATTGTGAAATGCAGAAGAATGCAAAGATATGAGCAACACAGGGCCAGACCTTTACACCATAAAAACATGTTGAATGTTTTTAATGTATGTTGAAATAAATATTTTCATACTGCTGCTCAGTCCTATATTTTTTACTTTTACCAGTAGTAAGTACAGCAGTGTGTGAATAGTGGGCTAAGCAGTGGAAGTTCATAGCACATATAATTCAGACAGCAGGCATTCAAGAAAAACAGTTGTGTGATATGAGTAATGGGGGCCTGTTCCCCAGTAGAGCTTTGTCTAGCAACGCCCCTGCTGCTCACTTACTGAAGGCAGAAAGACCCACAAACAAACAGCTGCAGTAAAAGCCTGGCAAAGCATCTCAAGGGAGGAAGCCCAGCATTTGGTCATGTCCATGGTTTCCATGGCCCATATTCTCATTATTCAGAATTTTCTGATAAAACCCCAGCAATGTATAAATTGGCCCGTGTTTTATCATATTATAAATACTGTAATTATATCAAATGCTTGCAGTGAGATTGATAAATAGTTTTACATTAGTTTTAATACAACAACCAGGGTTTGAAACAGCTGGTAAACCAACCCTGATCTCCTCGCATGAAAAATATCAGGTCATTTTACTGACAACAATATCTCTTATGTATTGGGCTGTCTGGGGCCAAATATAGAGAATTACTCTTTACTTACACATCTGTGATAAAAGGAGAACATGTAATCTGAAACTTTGCTGATTTTATGTGCTTGAAATGATTCCACAATAGCACATAACTTTTAATTAAGGAGTTCTTATTTTTCTGTCCTCAGTTTGCTTTCAGGTTACGTCTTTTGCTGTTGATCTTCTTCTTCTTCTTCTTCTTCTTTTGGCTGTTCCCGTTAGGGGTCGCCACAGCGAATCATCTGTTTCCACCTAACTCTATCCTCGGCATCCTCTATTCTCACTCCAATTAACTTCATGTCCTCTTTTAGCACATCCATATGTCTCCTCTTTGGCCTTCCTCCCCAGGTAGCCAAAATAGTGCGGCCCGATGATGGCCCAGATCCGGTGAACCGGATGAACTAACTCGGCCCAGATATGGTTGCCAGACTCGGGCCACATCTGGCATGACTGACGCCCCGGAATCGGCCCAAGTACACTGGCCCAAATCCGGGTGCCGAAGCTGAACCGACACTGCCAGAATAGGGCCGCAATCGCCCCACAAACATTTGTAGATCTGGCCTATATCGGCCCAGAGGTGGATACCGAAACTTAACCGATCACCAGGCTGTGACTTCTAGATCTGGTTCATCTGTAAGGCAGCTGATAGCTTGTAGTAATGATTGGGCAATGATGGTATTCCAAACCAGTGATGTCATAAATCCTGCACATAGACATGCATCTTAAAGTCATGGAGAGAAAAACCCTTTGCTTTAAGCAGATGAATATGAAAAAAGCCTTCTTGTGTTAGTCTCTGAACCTATACCATTTTGCAAACTACATTTGATTAATGTTGGCTTTAGGAATTTCCCAGGATGAAATAAAAATTTCACTTGAAAATATTAAATAACTAATAAATATTAAATAAAATATGTTAACCTTACAAGAACTAGGTGTTTAGCACTGCTCGCTGATGGTTTGGCAGCCCGTTCCTACCCTTGCTTTACCCCACACCTATCCTCAAAACTAGATGTTAGTTTTTCAAATTAATAATTACATGACTCAAATACATTAAAACTTTATTCTAAATGTGCAGCAGTATTTTACATTGATGATAAAAAAAAAGATCAAAAACAGAACAGATCAATAAACAGATCCAAAAAAAGAACAACTCTCACTGCCCAAAACATCCTTGTGGACCAGTGGACCTTTAGTGTACCCTACTAAGAATTTGCTTGTTTCATGGCCCGTTCCCTTCTTCCTCCATCCCTGTCCGATGCCAGCTGCAACCACCTTTTTATGTACTTTTCAATTTCTCCATCTGGTGCGCTTGCAGTTGCAGAATTTTGCCGCACTGATTCTGCAATATTAAGAAGGAAGAAAAAGAAAAAAACACTGTCACTTGATGTACAGTAGAGTCTTGGGACTATCTGTTTTAGGGTTCAGTTTTGTATCAAGATGTTGAAACATGGACATAATACTGCCAGTTACCTCAATAGTTTGAATAATTTTAACAGGTTTTGAAAAAAGGTGTGTGCTTCAATTAAGGAGTTCAATGAAAATGACTTTTCATGTAAGAATGTGGTCATTATTTCAGAATACTCACATTTAGATTTAAATGTACACTTTACATGAGTAACTGAATATGCAAACATGTGTCCACACCTGAATCGATAGAGCTGATAGAAATCATTAACCATCAAGTTAAAAATAAATGGTCCTAATTTCTAAGGGAGACA